GCAGAGACCATATTCAGTAAATAATATTTAAGTGCCAACTAGTAATGTCTTCTTCCATAAATTGTTAGGGAAATAAGCATGTGGTTCTCTCAGCACGCATTTCATGAATTAAGCAAACTTTGGCTGCACGTATCTCCCGAATTAAGAAAACTTTGGACTCTCATCTCTAGTGATTGAAAAGTATATTGGGTGGTTTTAGAGGAAGAACTGACTTGATGTAATTGATAACAGAAGAGAAGATTGAAGAAGAAAGCAGAGAAATCTCATAAAGTTTTGTATTAATTTTGCTTCACAAATCGATTACAACGTAAAACTCAGCTTATATATATAACAGAAAGCTTAGAGTTAAAGAAAACTCAGCTTAACAAACTAACAGATCTTACTAACAATACTAACAAGAGCACGTGATCTCCATTCTATTCTAACAAACTGAGCTGACCTGGATAATAAAGTCATCAGTAATATGTTGTGTTAATAATTTTATTTTCATGATTGATGAGCTCAGGTCGTCTATTTACATCTTTTCCATTGGTATGCTGTTTTGAACTTTCGTTATTTATTTATTTATATATAACATAAACTTTATTAGATAAACTTCAATAGTACAATCAAAGACATCAGCATGACATTTGAAGTACAAATCCCAAGAGGTCAACAAACTAACATGTGAAAAACAAAACTATAGTGAACAAAAGCCGCACTAAAACTACTAACTCACATCACCACAATTAACCATAAACCCAAACAAAGCCTACAAACCCAACATGACCGAAACCCTAAAGCAACACATGTGCCTAAATGAACCCTAAACCACCACCACCTGAAGAAGCGCTGTGGTGGCCACACCCACCACCGCATCCGTAATAGATATGAGGAAAATATGATTTCCAGTTATCTACCTTCACATAATAGTGAACAAATAAACAAAAACAAGAACCCTCCGTCAAAGACGATGTAGAACCAAAAGAGAACATGAACAATGTTAGAGAGCAGGTTTTGAGAGAAAGATTTGATTGAGAACATAGCCTAAAAGGGGTGATTGGGGAACTTCATTTGATCATGGCTCAGAAGAAATCACCACTTATATAACACGCCCCAATGGACTTATTCACTAACTCAAAAGGAAAAAATGAGAAGAAAGGAGGGGGAGGAGCACGCCCCAATGGACTTATTCACTAACTCAAAAGGAAAAAATGAGAAGAAAGGAGGGGGAGGAGAGGCACTGACACTTCTTCCTCCCCCCCCTGAAGTTTTTCCTTTGGGACTCACAGATGGAGAAAGCAGCTAGGGTTTTTTCGTTTGATTAGTACTATTGATGTAATTATACATCCTAAACCGTATGCTTAATTGTAAATCTCTATAATGAAATCATTATGGTCATAAGCACAATGTCAACGTCAACATGTAATAGATAAACGGATGATCTTATTTATTTCACCTGCGCCATGTCAAATGTGGTTTTTTAAATTGGAAAGAAAGATTTTGGCTCTTATAGGATGTCCATTACTTATGTATACGAGCATTTTGTTGTGAGACGGGTAAGATATGATAAATACAAGAGCAACAATACATAAATATCGACTATATATTTTCTCTCATACTTGGTCATCCTTCTAATTATCTTTTCAATATAAATAATCTTAAGTGTCCAAGGAAATCCTAAATTAATCCTAAATATCAAGATAAGGTCGTTCTGGTCATAAGAACAATACCAGCACCAGAATTTAAGCAGAAAATCTTATTTCAAAAGGTACATGCCATTTTTAGGAGTAGAAAGAAAGATTGTTGACTCTCACACGATGTCCATCTCTTATTTATAGCATATTGAAATCAACAACGCTCAGAAATTAAATGACATGTGGTTTAAAATTAGAGATTTTTAGGTGGTAACCATGTGATAAGAGAGATAGACACGTAATTATATACAACTGACGATAGGGCAAGTTTCTCATCGTTCAAGCTCGTTGATATGATGTAGGCTGTTCTAGCGTTAAAGCAACTATTTGGGACTTATGAAACAGAGCATGACTTGTGTGACAAGCAAGAAGTCCAAGATGTCAGCTTGAGGCTAGGAGAATGAAAGGCACTTGTTTGGGCTTAAATGGTGGGCTTTCGTAATCAGTTGCTGTAGTAAGTCATCCAAATCTCTGAAATTGGTGATGGGTAGGCTTCAAATTTGAGTGGTTGAAGTTCTTGTACTAGCATCATAGAATCTGCATTCAGATATGTTCCAAGTATCAGAGGTCTTCAGGTTTGAGTCAAAGTTAGGTATGAGAACCAGAGAACATAGAACCTTATTTCCCAAGAAAAGGGTCAATGCCATATTCAGAAAGATGAAAAATATCTAATTTCTTAAACATACCCTAAACTAAATAAAAGTGCAAATCTTGGTACCCTGGTTTTGTACTATAACAGAACCTCTTCACCCTTTTTTGTTGGTAGTGGTGATCAACGAAAATAGAGAAGTTTAGAGGAATGATTGTCTGAGTTAGTTGGAACAGCTTCGTATTGTTGCTTCAACCATTTTGAAATGTAAAATCTGGATTGATTGTACTACAAACAGAAGTTTGTTCATATCAGATGCAAGAAGCCTCAACTATCAATCTGATGACAAGGGACTTAGTTGAAGAAATAAAAAACACACTTCTTGTAATTAAAATGACCTTATAAGCTCCACCAGCTCATTCAAGCAATGGTAGGAAGAGCCACCCTTCATACTAACTTCTATTTTCTCTTTCAAATCCTTGGCCCTCATCCTCATTCCCTTCCCATCATCATCTACCATAAGTTTTTTAACAGCTCTCTCTATCTCTCCTCTCTCTAATTCATTCTCCAATTGTAACCCTATTTTCCATACTTGGCTCACATACCTTGCATTCACCTTATCGCTAGAGCATGGCCTGCATAACATTGGAACCCCTTCAGACATACTTTCCAGGGTTGAGTTCCAACCACAATGGCTCCAAAACCCGCCCACTGCACCATGAGCCAAGACTTCCATCTGGGGTGCCCATGTCACAATGCAACCTCTTTCTCCAATAGCTTCTGAGAAACCTTGAGGCAGTAGCTCAATCCCATCAGAATCACAAACTGATCCAGGCCTGATCACCCACAAAAATGGTTGCCTGCTGTTAATTAATCCCCAAGCCATTTCGAATAGCTCTTTCTCATTTATGAATGCTAAGCTCCCCAAGCTTACATAGATAACTGAGTTATGGGATTGTTTGTCAAGCCACGCAATGCAGCTGGTGTCTTCTTCCAGTAAACTACTACTGGAGGATGCTGTTGCAATCTTGTGAAGGGGACCTATGGAGAAGATTGGAACTTGGCATTGTTGCTGGATCTGTGCTAGTGATGATTGCTCGAGGCAGTCCGGGGTGTTCCAAATGATGGCTGAGGATGTCCTAACATCGTGTCCATTTGCCATTAGTTTCAAGATGTTTTCAAGTGTGTCGAAAATGGAGATGGGGAGATCCTTGAACCTGAGGGGATGAAGCTCGGGCACCAAGTTCAGTGACATAGAATCTGTGATCCAGAGATATAGTCTTAGTTATAAGTAAGAAAAATAAACATCATTGTCTATGAAAAATGACCCAGGCATTAGCCTCTTTCTTCGTTTACAGAAAGAAAAATAGAAAGGAGGAAACAGGGCACATACCTGGGAAGGAAGTGCAACCTTTCGAATGAAGTCGTATTAGAGCGTTGCAAGCAATAAAATTGATAGCGCTTTGTGTGCGTAAGAGGATTCTTGGAATGTTTAGATCATTAGCCACAGATTCAGAGAAGTACATAAATTCATCATAGATGATGCAGGTGATTTTGTTCTGCGGTTCCTGTTCCGTCACTCTATCAGTCAAGCATTGTTTGAAACTCGCTTTGCAATTGGCGTTAATAGTGAACATAATAGCTACTACATTCCCAGATGAAATCTCATCAGCAGTTAAGCCATCTGGAATTGGAAAGAAGGTGAATTCAGGGTGGTTTGAAGGGTTTGGAGAGTTGAAATGGGTGTGAACAATTGAAATGGAAAAGCCCTTCGAGTGAAGGAAGGTGCCCAGCTGAAGCATAGGATTTATGTGGCCTTGGTATGGACATGGGACTAAGACCAACCTGTGACCACTCTGTGCTTTCTTTTCCATCTCCCTCCCTCCCTCTTCCTCTTGCTCTTCCTTCTCACCGATAAATGGGCACACACACACACACAAGGACACTCAATAGCTTGCGGCTATGGAAACTTTATATTGCTTGACAATCTTTTTGAAATTCAAAGGAGCTTGAGTATGGAATATATATAGAGTGGTCCTCCCTGCAGAGACCATCAGTAAATAATATTTAGGTAAGCCAATTAGTAATGTCTTTTTCCATAAATTGTTAGGGACATAACCATAAATTGTTAGGGATGCATGAATTAAGCAAACTTTGGATGCACGTATTGGACTTTCATCTCTAATGATTGAAAAGTATATTGGCCGGTCGTGGTTGGTTTTAGAGAACTGAGTTGATGTAATATGTTGTGTTAACAATTTTATTTTCATGATTGATGAGCCCGGATCATCTATTTACGTCTTATGCATCGTAATTCTCTATAAATGAAATTAGGCCAAAAAGTGAACACATTCAACATCTCCCACCAAATATTGTAAGGCTCGTTTAGGTGTGTGTTTGTTTTGCATGGCTTAATGACCTTCATCGTCTCAGAGTTAACAAATATCTTTTTCACATATTATGGTAGACGCAACAATTTTCTCATAATTAATTAAGGGAATGCTTTTTTGAAAGACATGTATCCGTTTTCGCTCTTTCTTTTTCCGGAGGAGCACTTCGTACAGTCGCGCTGGTGATTTTCAGCCATTAATGCAAGTAGGACACACAATACATCGAGGTCTGGTAGTTGAGAAAAACTTCTGTACCTACCAATAGCTCACGCAGCTGTCTTTCAAATCTTTCATTTTTTAAGTGAGAAAGATAGGGACCAATCTGCATTAAAGCAACCATGAAAACCCATTATTCTACATTTTTTGGGGGCAACACCACAGAAATTACATTCACAGGTTGGCCAGGCCAGAGCCTTGAATCATACATAATATCCTTATTAATGCGCTTTGGACTAGAATGAAAATTTCTTTACATCAGATGCAGGAACCAGGAAGCCTTAATCTACCAATTTGATGAGAGAGGACCTAGTTGATGACAAAACCACTTTGTTGTTCCAATCAAAATGACCTTATAAGCTCCACAAGCTCATTCAAGCAATGGTAGGAAGAGCCACCCTTCATACTAACTTCTATTTTCTCCTTCAACTCCTTGGCCCTCTCCCTCATTCCCTTCCCATCATCATCTACCATAAGTTTTCTAACAGCTCTCTCTATCTCTCCCCTCTCTAATTCATTCTCCAGTTGTAGCCCTGTTTTACATACTTGGCTCACATACCTTGCATGCACCTTCTGGTCGCTAAAACAGGGCCTACATATCATTGGAACCCCTTCTGATAAACTTTCCAGCGTTGAATTCCAACCGCAATGGCTCCAAAATCCACCCACCGCGTCATGCGCCAGAACTTGCCTCTGGGGTGCCCATTTCACAATGCAACCTCTTTCTCTAATAGCTTCTATGAAACCTTGAGGCAATAGCTCAATCCAATCAGAACCACAAATTGATCCGGGCCTGATCACCCACAGGAAAGGTTGCTTGCTGTTAGCTAACCCCCAAGCCATCTCAGCTAGTTCTTTCTCACTAATGGATGCTACACTTCCCAAGCTTACATAGATAACCGAGTTATGGGATTGCTTGTCAAGCCATGTAATGCATCCGATGTCCTCTTCTAGTAAACTAGTTGAAGCTGCTGTTGCAATCTTGTGAAGAGGACCTATGGTGAAGATTGGAACTTGACATTGTTGCTGGATCTGTGCCAGTGATGATTGTTCAAGGCAGTCCACAGTGTTCCAAATGACGGCTGCGGATGTCCTCACTTTGTGTAAATTAACTACTAGTTTTGAATAGTTCTCATATGTGTCAAAGTTGGAGATGGGAAGATCCTTGAACCTGAGGGGATCAAGGTCAGGAACCGGGTTCCGTGACATAGATTCTGTGATCCAGAGTAGTGGTCTTAATTAGGTATAAGTAAGAAAAATAAACATCATACATTAAGTAAGATGACTCAGGCATTAGCCTCTTCCCGATCATTTTGCAGAGAGGTAGATCAGCTATACTATTAATCTTAACCATTGGAGTTTTATAGAAGGGTACATACCTGGGAAGGGAAAGGAACCTTTTGAAAGAAGTTGTAGGACGGTGCTGCGGGCAACAAAATTGGTAATGCTGACAGTGCGTAAGACGATGCTTGGAATGTTCAGATAATTAGCCACAGCTTCAGAGAAGTACATGATGTCATCATAGATGATGCTAATGCTGTTCTGTGGTTCTTGTTCCATCAGTTGAGTCAGGCATTGCTGGAAGCTTGCTTTGCAATTGGCATTAAGAGCTAACAGAATAGCTACTAAGTTCCCAGACAAAATTTCGTGTTCAGTGAGGCCATCTGGTATCGGAAGGAAGGTGAATTCAGGGTGGTTTGAAGGGTTGGGAGAGTTGAAATGAGTGTGAACAATTGTGATCGAAAAACCCCTTGAGTGAAGGAAGGTACCAAGCTGAAGCATTGGATTTATGTGGCCTTGGTATGGGCATGGGACTAAAACCAACCTTTTACAGCTCTGTGTTTTCTTTTCCATCTACCTCCCTCTTTCTCTCTCGTCTTTCACAGATTCAAATAGCTTGCAGCTATGCAACCTTATGAGACTATGCAATATAGAATGGTCCTCGGGTGCTGCACAGATCATAATAAGCAAATTGTGAGAATGCGAAGGTAAAAAGTCTCACATTGAAAAGTTGAGAACCTAGCAAGCGCTTATAAGGAGTTGGGCTACTCCCTCACATGAAGGAAGTTGAGGTTCCACCCCAAAACCAATTAGCAAAATTGGGAGTAGCCTAACTCCTTATAAGCCCTTGCTAGGTTCTCAACTTTCCAATGTGGGACTTTTTACCTTCACACAAATAAAGACAAATATGGGATGGGGTCAACCCTGTAACAATAAAGTCTGCAGTCCCTACACTTTTTATTGCAGTTGAGGACAAACGTACATAATATTTTTGAGAATTAGGTAAAATCTTTTGATCCATATCGTTTCGTTTGTAAGCCACTAGTCACCCTTCTCATCTGTCAAAATCTAATAGTCAATTGATATTTGTGCAGCACGTTGGTTCTAGCTCACATCATATTTGTCACATGTATAGATGTAGTGAAAAAATAATTAAACACGCCTTAACATTTTTTAACTGGATTGTTTTGCAACTCAAAATTAATTACCACATTCTAAGAAAACTAGCTCTAGAAAAATTCTTGTCGTAATGGAATGGGAATGGTACGTAAAACATTTTTCATTCCATCCTATAGCAAACCCAAATGCTCTCTATGCAATTATTTTCTTATAGCATTCAAGTAAAGTCTAGCCGAAACTCAGAGAAACCACAGCTTGTGCAAGATTATCTAAGTTCGGTTGGTATGAAAAGTGCTATGCTTACAGGTAGAATAATTTTGCTGCTAATCCCTTAGCCAGTTTAGGCTCTTTTTTAAAAAATACGAAAACAAACAACCTTAACATAGTTTAGACCCTCTTGGGCACGCAGCCCAAAGAGGTCCAGATAGAAAGAGTTAACAACAAAGAGTGGGAAACAACATTCCCATAGTAAAGAAGGAGAGGGAATGCCCCAAAGATGCTAAAGTATCAGCTACAGAATTAGCTTCCCTAAAAATATGAGTAAATCTAATCTCTTCACAAAAAGAAGCAAGGTGTAACACGTCGTGAATCAACTGTAATGCACCAAGGAACTGAGCAGAGATTGTTCACTGAGTCAGTCACCAGTTTCGAGTCACCCTCGACCGTGATGTAGCTCCAGCCTTTGAAGACAGCATGGGCTAAACCATTCCGAAGAGCAAAGAATTCTGCCACTGTAATTGAAACCTCAGCAACCTTCTTGGCGCCTGCCAGCCGGACATGGCCATCATCATCATGTGAACTTAGGTCATAGCTAGGCATTTCCATTTAAAAGCCCAATATCAGCATCAAGCATGTATATGGACAGAGGAGGCACACTTCCATTTAGTCTCACGATAGTAGGATACTTAATCAGCTCATACCAGTGGAGTCTAATATGGATGGGTGCTTAAATCTAGAACGAAAACTCATCTTGCCTTAGGAAATTTATAAAATCCTTTTGAAGAAAAATGTTAACCTCCCAACATAATTTCACCACCACTAATTAAATAATGGGGTTTTATTATTTTAGGTTCGACCCATTCGAGACGCGGTGTCTCTTAATTACAATCCCTTGTTTCAAGGAAACACCCTTTGATTCCATCATAAAGAAACAAAACGTGTGTTTGGTTTTGTTGCTGCTCCTAAGTCGAACCTCAGGGTGTCTACGTATCCCTTGCAGGAATCAAGCCACTCGTAGTTCAAAAAATTGCAATGAATAAATGACTCATTGCGAGGGAAATTTGATTTGAATTATATTGAGAAGTATTTGAGTGAATTTAGCTTAATAAACTAGGGATTCGATATGGAATTGTGTTTGGGGGCGAATTTGGTTAAGAATAAACCATGGATTCTGTTCGGATTTAAGATTTGGAAATTAATGAGTAAGTGTGGCCCACAAATTGAGAGTTTGTGTCTTTGAGACGATTTGAAGATGTTGAAATTTTCATAGGTACATGACCCATGGGAAAAATTGGAAATTAATGGGTAGGTGTGGCCCACTAACTGTGAATTTGTGATTGAGAGATTCGAATTTAGTCTCATTGAAATTTGCATGGGTAGATGACCTATGGGAAAAAAATGGATGGTTTTGTACCATTTTTCTTATTGTCAATGTCCAAGAAAAATAATGAGCAATTTCGATTAACCCACTAGTTTTCTAAAATTGACATTTGCATTGGAAAAGTATTTTGGCGAATTTGGTTATGATAAACCAGGGATTCAAATTAGGTTGCGGTTGCGTCTATTGGTATGGTAGACTGCCTACGTACCCTTGATGGGATCAAACCAACGCAGTTCCAAAAATTTGATTTAACTTGCGTGGTTTTGTACCACTCGGGACCATGAAGAGGATTTGTACCACTTGGGGTTTTGGCGTGGTTTTGTACCACTTGGGATTTGGTGTGGATTTGTACCACTTGAGATTTGGTGTGGTTTTGTATCACTTGAGTCTTCACTTGACGATTTGGGAATTAATGGGACTTTTTTTATTTGAGCCCATTAATCCATAATTTATGAATTTGAGACTTTGCACCGATTATTCACCAATTGTTTTTTTAAATGGACAATCCCATTGTGCTTGAGACGAGCCCATTGAGACCGACGAGTCTTGGAATATTGACTTGAGATCATCGGGTCCTGAGAGAGATGTGTTGTGAAAAAATGGACAAACACTTTCACTCACTCCCCTAATGATCTTGTTGTTGATGGACTTTGTGACACACACAATGATGGATGAATCACACACACACACACTTGAGACAACAACCAAGCACAAAGTGACACAAGAATTTATAGAGGTTCAGCAATTGCCTACATCCTCTTGGTGATCCCCTTGAGAAATTCACTTCATGAAAGAATAAGTTACAACTTTGGTTTTACACAGAAAAATTGCTCAACAC